AAACAATACGTACATACATACATACATACACACACACACACACATACATACATCCATACATATATATACATATATATATATAGATATATATATCTATAACGACAGACATCAACTGTTTGCACACCTGGAAATAAAGTAAACTTCGGCGTTGCTCTTACCTTGAACGAGACAATGTCATTGATGTCCATAATGGCGGATGTACTATACCGAGATAAAAACCAAAGCGTTGTTGATGAACTCACTCTCTGTTATTCAAAGCCTCAATTCTTTCTCTCGAACAGATATACTGGTGACGCCGAGGTTGAGATCTAGCCTGAGTAATATATTCGACACTTGCCGGTTGGTTCGTTTTCAACTGTTCTTTCTTATTACCACGGATATTTGCCTTCCGAGAATTAGTCATAAAATTATAATTTATATAATATAATATGTGGGTGAACAAACGATATGTTTCACTTTCAGTCCTCTCTTCATCTTCTTGCGTGTGTTATTACTTATTATTACTTTTTTAGCCCACAGGGCACAACACGTCACTCCAACTTCTGAAATCTAAACACTCACAAGAAGAGTCAAAAGGTATTTATTTTAGATTATAGAGTATGGCACTAAAAACTCTGGTGGACTACCCTAACAAATTCCGTTTCGCCAAGGAAGTGCTGGCGAATAGGTTTCAAGTACAGATCGATTATCCAATGATTCAATGTTTATTTATATGAATCTCGTGATGTACGAGGCATTGCGAGGCTGGCCGCAAAGTTGGAAAAGTGGCGGCACAGCTGAGAATTGTGATTCTTGTGACTTAGTGACTCTCTTGTGTGTGTGAAGTTTGTCAGTCCGCCTCTGTGGTGACAGTTGATTTAGTCCAAATAGTCAGCGCGTGTCGAGTGTACTATTGAATCTTTACAGTAAATAATAAGCGTATGATTCAAGCATTTTAAGCAACCAGAAACAAGCTATAGGTGTATATCTATATTATATGTCATATTTATTAGTAGTATCTATTCGATTTTAGAAAATATTCAATACACTTTTCTCATATTTGCAGTCGTACGCAGAGATTGCATTTGGGGTTACTTAAGTATCTTGACAACCTCCAATGTGCAAGTGTATATTTCCCCGTGCCCACATAGTCATTACCAATCCCAATAACTAGTTAAATGTTGCTAAATACAAAGTGAATGGGAACGATGGCAGTGAATCAAATTCGCGTCAAGCTATACGAACTGTCTCCTACTTTCGAGTGGGTGGATAAGGGCTGCGGTACAATAGGCTTGGTGAAGCCACCATCTACAGATACAGATACGTACACGACAGCAGACGCATCTGATGTGAATATTGGTACCGACAGTAATGATGCTGTGGATACCAGTGGAACCACAGGGCTTTCTGACGCCAATGTTGTGGTCGACAGTGCAGTTGAGGCTGGCGTTGAGGGCGTTGCGGCTAGTATTGAGATAGAAGATAGTAAGCAGAGCGTGGTGAATGTGATTGTGTGGTCGGAGGTTGAGGAGGATGTTAAATTATTAGAAACTGTTGTGTATAAGGACACAGAATTTAAGATTCAGCAGGATACTCTATTGTTATTCCAATGCACGACGGATGGTATTGACAAGGCGCTGAGTTTCCAGGAAGCGGAAAGCTGCGAAGACACATTGGCTAGGATACACATGATGCAAGGGCACACACCTAGCCTAAGCTCGTCTTGGGCCGATATGTCAGACGCGGAAGACAGGAGAGCGATAATGACACTCCCAGGTATGCAAAATCCATCACTTGATAATAATGTGTTCTGAGCGATCAAAATAATAGATACTTTGGACATAGATATGTGATATGTGTTGTGTTTATGTGTCTTTTTGAAACTTCTGTTGTGATATTCAATTTAA